TTGAACTTTTCTCTTGTTTATTGAACCAAGGTAGGTATTTTATCCTTTTTTCTTTTTTGTAGCCATATCTCCATCTTGGTTTTCAAATGTATTAGCGTATGGATACTCATAATATGATTTCATTGTAATTATTGCTCAATGTGTATACAGTTATTTCCAATTATCATTTTATGTATTTTTTATTTTCTTCTTCTCTTTCTTTCTCTATCAGTCATACTAAAATGGATCATATCGGCTTTTTTGTTAATCTTCTCTATTGTTTTTATTATCTATATGATTCATTCCTGTTTCTTTATGTTTACTCTGTTGCTCATTTTACAATGGAGTGAGCAATATCTAGTTTTTTAAATTTTAACTTTTTAAATTTCATGACAAGAATATTTAAAGATATTAATGATCATCTATCTCAAGATTTGTACTTGAAGTGTTTCCTTTTGTCAATCTTTGCCAAACATTTCTTAATTTTCCTCCCTCTTACAGTTATTTATTAATACATCATTTGATTTTCAAATATGTGGTAGTTTTTCTATTTTAAATTATCTTTTAATCATATTGAATTTTGGCCAGAGAACATAGATCATATACTATTGATCTTTTGGGATTTCCTAAGACTTTTGTTGTGGCCTGATAAATATTTTACTTTTATAAATGTTTCAAACGTTCTGAAAGAACATTTATTTTCTGTTTCTTGGATGTATTTCCTATGAAATCTAATGGCTTAAGCATCTTAATTTTTTCATATGATATATCAGTTTCTGAGAAGTGTGTGCTAAAATCTCTAAGTCCAGTTATTGATTTATCTAATTCTATCACATTCTGTTAGTTATTGTTTGAGATATTTAGAGCCTGTATTATTAGGTGAATGTATGCTCATGGTTATTATCATGGTTATTATACCTTCTTGTTCTCTTTTTCCTTTTACTTTATATAATGTTCTTCTTTGTTACTTATGATGCATTTTGGACTGAAGTCTATCTTTTCAATATTAATATTGCTGCCTCTGCTTTCTTCTTACTCATTTTTGCCTTGTATCTTTTCTTATTCTATTGTTTTAAAATTTGTGTACCTTTTAATTTTTCTCTTTTGATCAATACCCGGTTTAACCCAATTTTTAAAATCCAATCACAAATTGTCTTTTAGTCTGTGGGCTTAGCCCATTTACATTTTTTGTTATTTCTGTTATACTAGGACTTGGTTCTCCCTTTTTTTCATATTTTCAGTTACCAGATTTTTTAAAAACTTATTTTTAAAGTAGTTTCTTCCTTCCAGGTTTTCTTTGATAATGATTTAAATGTAACTTACCTATTTTCATTAATATGAACCAAATACCACATTTATACTTATATATCACTACTGCTAATGTCTGTGTTTATTGTCAGTGTCTCCATCTTCCCCCCAATGTATATAGTTTGCTATCAATTCATTTGTTAAAATCCCCCCAACCTCCACAATTTTGTTGTTGAATAGATTTTAGCTTTGAGTTGCTATGACTATTTCTCTCTTTCTCTTGTTCTTTCATTTTTCATTAATTCTAGAAATGTTCCCCATTTCTTCAGATATTTATTTCTATATCTGTTTACCTCCTTTTTGGGACTTTCTAATTTTATTCTTTATGTTTTTTGTATTTTATTTTTTATTTTAAATTAGTTTTCTTTATCATTGCCTTCTGTCAAAGTTTCTTGATCTGCTCGTCTGGTTCCCAAATTCATTGTGTATTTGCAGCTATTCTACTTTTAGTCTTTATATTGTTTTATTTATTGCTATTTAAATATTTCCCATATTGAAAACTTTTACTTTTTTCTTCCTTTATAACTTCTTTTTTCTTCCTTTATATTGTAGATATCTTCTCTTATTTCTCTAAAGCATAGTTACACACTTGATAAATTATTTCTCTATGCATCCCAATAATTCTGCTTCAGTTGATACTGCATATTGTTCATATTAACATATTTATTTTATGCTGTTTTACTCCTCAGATAAATAGATATTTTACTGTAAGATCCCATAATGGCTTTAGTTACTTTTTCTGCCAAAATGAGTTAGATAAAGTTCAAGCTGAGCTTCAGTTTCTGCCTCTCCTGATGAGTGTAAGGATAGGAAAAGAGATAAGGCTCAGAGCTGAAGGTTTTGAACCAGTGCAGCCCAATCTAGTTTGCTGCCACTTCATGAGGTCAGGAATCCACCTGTAAGCCCTCAGAAATTGTCTGCACTAGGAAAAGGTGTTCCCTGTAGGCTGTGATCCACCAGCCCTTGGGGTTTGGAGGTGAAGGAAGTGGAGTGGTAAATGCTTGCACCTGTTCTCAACATGTCCCAGCTGGGCTTTTAATCTGCCCTGGCATCACCCTGCCAACACCTGTGACCTAGTATGCTACTGTTGATTTTGCTGGTGAAGGGGGATAAGCAATGATTGGCTCAAGTTAATTACTTCAATCTATATCCTCGTGCTTCTGTAATTTCTCCAGAAATGATATTCGAGCGTAAACCAGCAGCTCTCCTGCTTTTTCGTTATGCTCCAGCCACACTTGTTTTCTTTCTGCCCCTTAAGCAGGACAATCTAGTTCTTATCACAAATCCTTTGGAATTGCAGTTCTCTATGCCTGATATGTTCTTCCCTCACATCTTTAACAGCTGCCTCCTCCTCATTAATCTCATCTCACCTCAGAGGCTACCTTTGCAGAGCAATCTTTCTCGACACCATGTTTAAAATGGCCACCGTTCTAGGTACTATCCTATTGCTCAGTTTATTTTTCATAGCACTTATTATAATTTAAGTTACCGTATTTATTGCTGATCTCTTCTGATCAGGGTGTAAGTTCCTTAGAGCATGTACTCCATTTCTCTTTTTTGCTGTGTTACAGTCTAGTAGAATGCCCAGAGCCTAGTAAATGCGCATGGATTTTGAGGAATAAATGAACAAATGAAATAACACTATGGCCATTACTTACCCTGTTTTCACTCTATTTTTAACTTCTTCCTAAACGTATGACATGAACAGTGGGGTATGTTCTATAGCTTTTCTATTTTAAATTCTTTTCCCTTTTTAATTGTCTTCTAGGAGAATCCTCAATCTAATCTTCTGGTCTGCAATTTTGTCATATATTTGTATTCATTCCACTTTTATTCTTTATATTGTGTGACATACTAGGTGACAGGTCTATATTATAAATGTTTCATATCTATAATGAAATGATTTTTATTATGACAATAATAAGATCAAAAATTTTATTTTGCAATGTGATATCATAAAGAAAAAGTCTCCAGTCTGATTCTTTGGTTTCAGATGGAAATGAAATCCAGGTTAACTCTGTATCTTCTTTAGCTGGCTTATGTCACAACAGTGAGTTGCCAAATAGTATTTCATAAGTATTCATTTGGTCTTCACCACAAATCTATAATGGTATGAATTTCCACTTTTCAGATAAGGAAAGTAAGGTTCAAAGAGGTGAAGTGAGTGGGTGGCAGATGTGAGATTTGGACACTAGTCTTCAGTTGTTACCTGGTGTAGTTGTTTTTCTCACCAAACAGGTTTGTCTCTAAGTGTATGTCATATTATCAGAGCAGAAATTTAGAGATGTCTGCCATCATCCCTAAAACGTGTTTAGTTTTATTGGCTTGATTGTCAGTAGAGAAAACATTTAAAATAAGAACAGCAGCAATAAATGGTTATGATGTGCTGGGCACTATTTTAAGTGCTGTATGTGTACTAATATATTTAAATCTCTTTATAATCCTGAGAGGTTGGTAATACTATACACATTTTATAGATGAGGACGCTAAAGCACAGTGGGGTTAAGTAACTTTCCCCAAACACACAGCTAGTAAATGGTAGAGCTAGAATTATGAACCCAGCAATCTGGCTCTTGATCACTACCCTAATTTATAATAATAGAAACTTTATTGCAGCTTATTGTTTATGGAGGGCTTTCATATCCATTATCTATTGGACTTTACTACCACTCTGTAGAGAAGGCAGGAAGGATTTGGTAAAGAAACAGTATACTAAGTTTCAGAGAGGTGACTTGGCCTACTTTCCTGGTTTGCAGGAAAACCAGGTCCCAAGTTGACATAAAAAGTGAAGGAGAATGTGAAAAGGGTAACTCAGAGAAGGTGAGGCCCGATATCAGGGGGTGAGAAACATTGGGGGGCTGACTTTGAAGAGAAAGAAGATGCTCAGCTCTTCCTACTTTGGTGGGGTGTTTGGAAGGACGTAATTCTTGCTCTCCTTGAAATGGGTTACTGCTTGTTTAGATAAAAAGCAATTGATAATTCCTGAAACTGGAGCAGATTACTTTGGTAATTAGAACTTTCAGCTCTATTTCTGCTTTCTATGGGGGAAAAAAAAAGAAAGAAAGAAATCAAAAGAGAGCTACATCTGTGGTAGAAAAGAAGGCACTACACTTTAGCCACTTGACCTGTTGAAACCCTGGCACTGTCACTTGCTGTCAGGAGACCTTGGGCAAACTACTTAACCCACTGTACCAGTGTTTCCGTATCTAAAAATGAGATTTGGATTAAACAATTTCTTTCCATGCTAAAATTCTGTGAGCCTGTGATGATAGGGGAAGGAAGTGAGCATCTCATACATTTATACTTGACTTTTTCTAGATGAATGATTTTCATAAGTCAAGGTTTGTGCCTTTCTATATGCAGCTGGAGCATCTGAGCTCGCCTCCACCAAGACATTTAGCACATTGTATTTTAAATATCTCTTTCTCTATGTCACCCAGTAGATTATGAGCAAATTGAGGGCAAGCAGTGTATTCTACCTTAGTTCTAACACATAGTAGGTTACTCATGTTTACTAATAAATGAACTAATAAGTAAACGAGTTCCATACTTAACCATATGAATTGTACAATACTTACTGAGCTAGTTCTACCTGTGTGGTGGCTAGTGTTCACTGCGCAGAGAGGCACTCAGTTCTATAAAATTTCTCAAGACAGTGTTGTAAGCATTACAATTAGGATAGTGAATATCAAATTCCTTTCCCTGTTCTTCAGGATGTGTGTAGTGCTTTTCGGCCTTATGTGAAGGATGGAAGACTTGTATGCACAAGGGAAAATGATCCAGTTCTTGGTCCTGATGGGAAGACGCATGGCAATAAGTGTGCGATGTGCGCTGAGCTATTGTAAGTATCATTATCCCCAAGCAGGCTAAGCACGTGGACCTGATAAGGATGCACTTGGTTGCTGTCCTGAGAACCACTCCATGGAGAGATAAAGATCTTTTCATGAAGCATGCAATCCTTTGTCTTTATGATCTGAAATAGTTCTTGCTCCCAGAGTGGCTTCTTCTCTTTTTAATTCTTATCACCTACTAAAGTTTCTTAAAAGGAGTGGATAAGGTGGGTATGCTGGTTATTAAATTCAAGACTCTTAGTTTGTTTAATTACAATGACTTGAAAATGCTCAGTGTTTTATAGACACAATATTTTAAAAATTTAAGAAGCACTTTCATATGGAAGAATCTAGGTCACTCATTTGACATACATTGCTTCATTTGGGCATGCATAGAGTCTCTTACTAAAAATGACAGCCTAATTTATTTATTTACCTATTATTTTTTTGAACCCTTATTTGATTACTTTAATTGCACCATTAAACATTTGACTTAAATTATTTGACCATTCCAGTTGTTGTGCTGTTCTAATTTCTCATTGTGTAGGCCAATTTGCCTCAGCCCGCATGTCTTGTTCACCGGTCTTTATAATTTTTGTTCAGTAACTAAAAGCAAAGGACTAGATGCACTACTGTGTAAAGAGATTACACATGACTGTACCCTATTGCACTTATCAAATAGTTGTGGGGATTTATGATAGCTTGCCATGTTTCACAAAATAAACATCTCATCAAATACTAGATAAGCATCTAAGTTATTTCACTAAATCCTGTTTAGATAATAGGGACAGAATAAACAATGGGTACAGGGTGCTCACCGGGGCCCTCAGACTGCCTGATTTAAAATAATAATAATAATGATGACATTGACTGAATTCATTATTAGTATAAAAGTTGGAACTTTATGAAAGGGAGGAGCTGTTGGGTTAATCTTTCTCTGAGTACCTGACTGCTCTGAGACCTAGATATGAATAAGATCCAATGAGTCTTTAAGATTTTGGCTGGTAAACAAGGTATACTCTCTAATCCATGTGTCAGCAAGGCTTAAAGTGCTCTATTTACATCACTGGATCTTTAAAATCAAGACAGAGAAGGATTTAACAGATTAATAAACTTCACACCTGCCTTTGAAAATTAACAGTGTGCTGTTGTAGAATTCAAGGGCATGTCCTATCAGGTTTATAAAACAGTGATTATAACTGGTTTCCAGACAGAACATTAGCCTAATTTCCACTTTCTTATCTAGGAGGTGTGTGCTTTTAGTGTTCAAACCTGCCCTAATTCTGTGACCTTCTCTTTTCCTGCACTAGCTGAAAAAGAGAATTTGACTTCTCTAACTCATGGTTGGTTTTTTCTTCTGTAGAATTAAGATAATAATGCCTATCTCCAAGTTGAGGCTGCAATTAGAGAATATATATGAAAGGACTTAGAAGCGTAGGTCAATGTAGCTTCTATTAACAAGGATTCTTTTACATGAAGGCAAATACTTTACAAGGTATAAAAGCTGTACATAAAGGTGCGGATGCCAATACTTGAGATGCTTAGTTTGGTTTCACCCTTGTCACAGCATCGTTTGAAAGCTCTTGGTTCTGCCTGGTAAAGGGAATTTTCCTGACAATTTTCTGTTTGTCAATCAAGGAGTCACACCCACCCAGTTTTACAGAACAAAGCTTCTAATTGACTGTCAGTGAGTCAGTTTCACGCCCTTCCTTATCTTTGGCAATTTTCTGCCTCAGACATTCAAGACAGGAAAAAGTTCATCTCATGTAAGTGGATCAGCTTAACAAGTTATAGCAAAGAATGTGAAACTACTTAGCACCGAACTGGACGCTGAAAATGTGATAGAGCCATAAACTGACCAGCAGCTATTTTCTTTAATTAACAGCTTAAAAGAAGCTGAAGAAAATGCCAAACAAGAAGGTGAGACCAGAATTCGGCGAAGTGCTGAAAAGGTAAATTACTCACCAACAAAATTTGTTTTTTGTGGCCTTAGGTATTCACAAACTTATGCTTAAACCTTTCAGGTAATTCAATAATGCCATTGTCCATTACTACATTGAATTTTTTCCCTTTAATTTCAAAATTCCCCAAGTTGACTATTCTTAGTGTATTAACCATTAGATTCAAAGTTAAAACATAATTTTCTACTTAAAGTTCAAAATATGCAATTTACTTCCTTGCTTAAAAAAAAGGGAGGGGCTGGCCGGGTGGCCCCAGCAGTTAAGTGTGCATGTTTGCTTCGGTGGCCCGGGTTCGCAGGTTCAGATCCCCTGTGTGGACATGGCACCCCTTGACAAGCCATGCTGTGGTAGGCGTCCCACATATAAAGTAGAGGAAGATGGGCATGGATGTTAGCTCAGGGCCAGTCTTCCTCAGAAAAAAGAGGAGGATTGGCAGCAGTTAGCTCAGGGCTAATCTTCCTCAAAATCAATCAATCAATCAATCAATAAAAGGAAGAATGTAAGACAGAAATTTTATGCACATTAAATTCTGCTTAATTTTCACCAGACTTCTCTCTGACAAATATACACAGTGTATCTACTGGTGTATTTTATGCATAATCCCATTAATACAAATTAGAGTTGTTCATTTGCCCATTATGGTTATTACATTCAGTGAGGCCTGCATTTATAAAGGTCCTGCTTCAATTCAAACAAATATTGAGATTGTGGTTTTAAAAATACTCTTAAAATTAAGGTTTTCCAAATTATTAGATGATTTAATTTTTCCATTTAGTACAAAAAACTATTCCTTTTGTTAATTGAATAGGCAATGTAGGTAACACAGCCTTGCCAACAAGTTGCTTCTGACCCCTAAGACCCTGTGTACAGCAGAGCAGAACCCTGCCCAGAGGTTTTGTGCGATTCTCTCACTTTACAGTGCTATATCAGACAATGCTCCACTGCTGTTCATAGGATTTTCATGGCTGATTTTTTCCAGAAGTGGGTGGACAAGTTTTTCTTCCTAGTCTATTTTAGTCTGGACACTTGGCTGAAACCTGTCCACCATGGGTGACCCTGCTCGTATTTGGAATACCAGTGACATGGCTTTCAGCATCACAGCAATATGCAGCTGCCACAGTATGACAGTTGACAGAGGGATGGTATGGTTCCCTGACTGGGGAACAAACCCAGGATGCAGCAGTGAGAGTGCCGAATCCTAACCATTAGACCATCAGTGCAATGTAGATTTCTTAAATCACAAAGGTTATTAAACCCTACTTTCAATAAAGGTGATAATAGTTACTTTGGTAAGTGACTAGCTTTTTGTTGAGAAGTCAGAACACCTGAGTTTGAGCCTTAGTTCTGTCATGCTGCGGGTGTGTGAAACTGAGCAAGTCATCTCTTCTGAGTCTCAAGTTTCTTGTCAGCAAAATGACCTTAATTTTACCTTCCTGTTGGATTTTGATTCTATATCCTGCACCCTTCCATGCTATTACAAGTATTTTTTTTTTTCAAGATTTTATTTTTTCCTTTTTCTCCCCAAAGCCCCCCCGGTACATAGTTGTGTATTCTTCGTTGTGGGTTCTTCTAGTTGTGGCATGTGGGACGCTGCCTCAGCGTGGTCTGATGAGCAGTGCCACGTCCGCGCCTGGGATTCAAACCAAGGAAACACTGGGCTGCCTGCAGCGGAGCGCGCGAACTTAACCACTCGGCCACGGGGCCAGCCCCACAAGTATACTATTTTTGTAGATTGTAGGGCATAGGTTTTCCTAAGGGGAGACACAGATCCAGTTTTTGGTAGTTAAGAGCTGAACTTCCACTTCCTAATGCTATTCAACAAAGCGAATTTCCCATCCTAAACAGGGTATTCAGAGTTTAAACTAAGAAACATGGAGCATTCAGAATTGTCAATAATTTGTACAACACTCCCTGGGATTTGATTAGCAGTTCTTTTGTGGTGGTTGTTAAATTTCAGTCTAAAATTTTGGGTCATCTTGTGATATTTAGTATTTTATTACTCCGTGAACACAGAGAGTTCCTTTTCCTTGTCTTTCATCATATCTCAGCTCTTTTTCCCTCTTCCTCTCTGTGGCTGGGATCATTGTTTTGGTGAGGTCATTGGACGTGATGATGTTGAATAGGACGACTTTGTAATGATGGCTCAATATCTGCCCCATAATTAACTCGTCAGAAGGTTGCTCACAAAAGTATTTCTTCAGAAGCTCCTTGGATGAATCACAACTTATAAACTGAAATTACCATTGTTTCTCTTATGGGAATCATTGAGCATTAATTTTATTACTATGCTATGATTATCAGATGATTGTCTTCTGTGTCTATATTCCTAGACTGTTACAACCAGGAAGTTTAGAGCACACCCATTTCTCCTCCAAAAACAAATATCTTTTTATTCAGAGGCACTTAGGATTAAAGTGTTCCAATGAAATATGAATTATTAAAAACAAATCAGAGAATACTAGATCTAGAAAAGGCCCCAAGAACATCTACTCCAAAAACCTCTTTTGTGTAAGTGGTGAGATTGAGGGCTCGTGTGTGACAGGACTTTAATGTTCTCCCAGTGAGTTAGAGCCTCAGTCGAGCGCCATTCTAACTCCAAACTACGTGCTTTATGCTCTTGTTTTCTTGGCTGACCCGAAAGATGAGAATCATCCAATTGAAAAGAAGGCTACAGAAAAGCATTTTGTGTAGGTTATATTATAGTAATATATGCTATTATGAAATATATTTATTGACATAGAGATTCCCAAGCCTAAAGTAAATATATAAATATGTCTTTAATTGTAGGCCTCATCGAAGAGTAGAATTTTCAAAACACAGAGAGAAACCCGAAGGTACTCAGCCAAAGCAATCAGGAAATCGGGGTACAAACCTCTCTTGGATTTTTTGGGGAGAAGTCACAACCTTTTTAGATTTTCTAGATAGAAATTTGTCTTGATGGTTCATATTTGTAAGTGAGAAGTGAGGGGAAGTTAGATTCACTCTCTCTGAGGTTTCCACCTACAATATTAGAGAGGAACATCAGTAAAAGAGGGAGAATTTATAAAAATGATCCACAGATCTACAGAGAAAACAAACTAAAATAAGCGTAATATTGTTGTATACTACTTCATTCCTTTTTCCTTTGCAAACTAGGTTGGATTGTTCTTGACTTTGTCTATATTAAGTAGCTTTTAAACATTTCATCTCACAGATTCTATATTCTACTCATTGGCAACATTTTATTTGTCTTGCTTGCTGCATTTTGGCGTGTCTTTGTTGGAACCCCATATCAGATCTTTTATTTTGTATTATCTTTTTTCATAGAATTGAAAGTTAACAAGAACTATATGGTTTTAGGAAATATTTGCTCAGCCCTATTCTTTCCTAGGCTCTTTTAACTTTTAATAAATATATCGCATAGCAGATACAGGTACCAGGTAAGTTGACAGTGTAATTGCTATTTCTTATTAATTTTCAATATTTATCTGTATGTGTTTACCAATACCTTCTAGACCTGATGTTCTTTGACTATAACTCCATGATGTACATTTTCTAGATTAAAGAGTAGAAAAGTGCTAAATGTAATTGGTCTTGTTAAAGGATTTTTGCAAGGAATACGAAAACCAAGTGAGGAATGGAAGACTGTTTTGTACCCGGGAGAGTGACCCAGTCCGTGGCCCTGATGGCAGGATGCATGGCAACAAATGTGCCCTGTGTGCTGAAGTTTTGTGAGTACAGTTGTGACTTCTTTGCAGTGACTCAAAAGGTGAAGTGGAGATTTATTCAAATGATGAGTATGAACTGTGATGAGGAGAACACTTGTTGCTAAGAATTTTTGAGCAGTTTTATGTCCTCTACAAATTATATCACCACTAATAAATAGGCCCTAATAATGTATATCTATTTTTGAGTACAAATGGATTCGACTTTCCAGTTGGGAGACTGGATTATAAAATACTTCTTAACATTTTCTCCTATGACCTTTGTAAGTCTTCTTATAGCATGAGCTACTCATTCAACAGAATGAATAAAAAGGAGGTACCAAGACTTTGATTGTTTTCCTTCTGTAATTATCCCATTGTGACCAAATAGATGGGATGCCCCCCGAAAATTCATGCTCATATATGAATTGGATTAACTTTATCTTTTCATCTTGGACATCTGACCTTGGGGGAAGTACAAATCTCATAACATGTAAATTATAGTATTTATGAAGATACCTCAGACAAGATCTCATCAGACTTATTTTCAGACCCTTGAACTCTGTAAACTCTTTCCTATGTGCTGTCCTACTGCCAGTTCGAGTCACTCTTGGCCAACTAATGTCCCCTCTTCTGGGGATTGCATTTCAAAATTATCCTTCCTTGGATAAGACCTCCTAAAGCACCTTCTTGAAATTCAATCTTTATAACACTGAATAATTTTATTTCATAAATTAAATCATCACAGTTGGTATTTGTACAATTATTTCTATGCCTATTTGTTGACTGTCAGTCTTCTCTACTGGGCTGTAAGTTCCAGGAAGACAGGGTGTGTGTTTCTATGCTGTGCTACTGTACTGTATGCACAGGGCCCTGGCCAATGCTTGCCAAAATTATTTACTAACTAAATGTTGAATGAATAAGTGAATTAATGAATGAATGTATGAATGAAGATCCTTGCTCTCAAAAAGCTAAGGCTAATAGCAGAAATAAGCCATTGATGTGAGTGCACCCTCGTGGGCACAGATGCACACACGTGTTGCAAGACAGAATGAAAACCGTCCAATGAGAGAAGAATTCCAGGTATAAAAATACAGTGATGAATGTAGAACTCATTTCCACTCTAAGGTCTTGGATGTTTTCTTAAAGAGGGTAAAATTTAAGCTGAGGAGATTTAAAAGAAGGCAAGATGACAAAAAAAGATCATTATAGTGGCAGGAAATGGCACACATGAAAGCAAAATGATAGGGGTTCTTTGGGGAAATAGTGAAGATTTTGGTTTAAAAGTGGCTTTAAGGTGATTTGAAAATGTTTGTACTAGAACTCAGGAACACTTAGCTGTTTCTCCACCTGCACCTAAATGACTATTTTGTAGCGTGAAGATTTGAAACATCTAATATTCACTTATTTATTTTTGTTTCTTCAGCAAACGGCGTTTTATAGAAGAAAAAAATAAAGAAGATAAAACCCGGAGAGAGGCTGAAGAAAAAGCTAAAGTTAAAACAGAAATTGAGGTGAAGATTAATTTGATTAATGTAGTTATACCTTTTGTGATGTATGTGTGTGTATTTTATGCTAGAATGAATTTTCAATGTTGGTTCATTTTTCTTCCACTACTGATGCACTTTTTGGAAACTAATTTATAGTTATTATTTTAGAAGAGTTAAAGGACTAATTATGGCATTACAGTTTTTAACTCTACTTGGATGAAATTAATCAAATCATGTTAGTAAAATAGATCCACACTCCTAAATGAAGGTGATATATCAAAGCATTGTCTTAATTCAATGTTTACTATGTATTCTTCAAATGAATGGTAGCTGTTTTGGCGGTTTTCATTTTGAAAGCAGTATCAGTGTAAAATTTTAATATACTTTCTTTAAAATCATACTACATTCTACTTTCTACACATCTGTTAACTAGTCATCTGCCTTTTTTCTACTGCTACCATCTTAGCTCAGATACTTAATAGCATTCCTTTGCATTGATGCATTAGCATCCTGCCTGGTCTCTATACTTCTAGCCAACATCTTCCTCAATCCTCAAGATTCAATCCGTATTCCATGTTGTTTTTATGGAGTAGGAAATATTTCCATGCACCAATGGCCTTATGAAAATCCCACATTTGAAGATATCCTAGAGTGTATTTGGACCATTTCACTCCATGAATAAACTCTATTTAACTAAGTTCTTACAGAAAGTTATCTCACCTTCTATGATGTGTAATAGTTTCATAAAATACCCCACTCCATTAGTCCACTTTCTGCCTTCATGTAGCGTCATCTTTTTGCCTAGCCCTTATTTTCAACTTCTTTCTTCCCCTCAATCCTAGGTTATGAAGTCCTTTTAATTTTAGTTCTCAAATGTCCCTCAACTATCCTTTTATCTTTCATTTCCAATTTCTTTCTTCCTTTCTCTCTCTTCCTTCTTCTCTCCCTCCCTCCCTCCCTTCTTTCCCTCCTTTCATTTTGTTCTGTAGTTGCCCTAGCTTAAGTCTCTAGACACTCAAATCCCCCACACATCTGGCTGGGTAGTTTTTCTAAAACAAAGATTGGATTATGTTCTTCTCTGCTGTAAGTATTTACTATTTCTCCATTTCCTAAGAACAAGGTCCAAATTCCTTTCAAAATTTAGTCATCTCGTTTTGACTTATCATCCAGGTCTCCTTTTCGACTAGTTTCCAAACCCTCCTATCTTTGCCCAACTAATTCTTTAGCCATTATACTCATGGCTATAATAGATTATCTCAAAATAACATGTTCTTTTATACCTCTATGTCTTTGCATATCATAATTTGTCTTGGAGGACCTTTTTGCCACATTGTTTTCCTGGACACATCCTAAAGATACAACTCAGATATAAGCTCTTCTCTGAACTTCATGAATCATTCTTTACTTTGTGCTTGTAACACTTAATTCACACCTGTGTCATATCCCTTAGCTTTTTATATTTCAATTCCTTATCTTTCCCACTTGACTGATAAAAGAGCTAAATCACATTCATGTTTACATCCACTTAGCTTAATACATTTGTTGAATACTTAAATGGGTGAATGTTACAAGGAAAGAAATATCACAGAACTTTTGGATGTTCCTAAATCCAAAGCATTTTATTTTTTATCTTTGATTCCTCTTTTCCAATATCTTTGACAAAGAGCACCTAAAATTAATAAACAGGAAACAGATAACTATATCTAAACTGTCTCATTTTCATTACTCAGAAAATGTGCAGTGAATATCAGAATCAAGCAAAGAATGGAATACTGTTCTGTACCAGAGAAAATGACCCTATTCGTGGTCCAGATGGGAAAATGCATGGCAACTTGTGTTCCATGTGTCAAGCCTTCTAGTAAGTATAGAGTTTTAGAATATCAAGGAGAGAAGGGACCTTACAGCTTGCTTCATAGATGGGAAACTGTGGCTCAAGATAGGGAAGGGATTTGGATAAGTTACCCTGAGAATGTTAGTAATAGAGCTTGGAGTGACTACCTAGAGCTATTTATTCCAAGATGTCTGTTTTCCCTCGACCCTCATTCTCTTAATAATGGAACATCCTGACAAATATGAGCAAGGGCAAATATCAAATTCTCCCTTCTGCTGAAGCTTCATATGTTGAATCTGTTGTACAAGTTCACAGGCATCTCATCCTCCAGAGGGGATAGGGCCCAAAGTTAGCACTTCATGCAGAAATTGATTATTAAAGTTGCCCACAAAACAACCATGAACCCTTATAAAATTAGAGTAAATGTTACTTTATATAATATAACATTTCTCAATAAGTTAGAACTGAGTTTGGCTTCAAAATTTGGGGCTGCTCTTAGCTTATTTGGTTGAGATCAGATTAAGCAGTTGGCTTCATTTAGAATCTATGGCCTGTTGTTTTGATTGACAACCATGAACATATGGTTGAAATATCATCAGTTAACTGTACATACCATGCAATTCCATTGTACAAAGCAGATTTGGGCTTATTTGGTTTATCAGTGTATGGAAATTATTCGCCTTTTCCAACCCGCCCTACATTCTGTCTTTTGGATAACAAAACCGTAAGTAAGCGATACATTTAAATTGAATTAATAAAGCTAGGATGTGCATGATGTGGTAAATGGACCATAGAATGGAGGGGAGAGATCTTGGTGAGTTGCAGTTGTATCCTGAGAGCATAGCCAAAGCCCTCACTGCCTCACCTCCTCTCTGTGAAACAAGGGGACCAGTCAATGTGCTTGATTAACACCACTTTCAGCCTCCAGGTGTAATGTCACCATGGTACTATTTTTGATATCTCCTTGGTGGACATTTCATGATGTTTCTTTTCTGACGACAGACGAGAAAGGTAATTCATAGAAAGAAGGTTTTCCAGATCCACAATTACCATTTTTCTTTCAATGTTAAGCAGAAACTATAAAGAAGTTATGGAATCTTACTGTTCTGGAGGCTGTTTTGTTGCTTTCTTGGTATGTAGTGTAAAGGGACCAGGTTGCTCCTTCCTAAAGAGGGAGGATATATTAGCAATGCAAGAGTATGGATGGATCATTGCCTTTGTTTGGTCCTATGGATCCTTCTCATTTTCTCTCTCATTCAGCCAAGCAGAAGCTGAAGAAAAGAAAAAGGCTGAAGCAAAAGCAAGAAGTAAAAGAGAATCTGGAAAAGCACCCTCATATGCAGTGAGTAGTGTCCATTCAATGAGTCCTACTTGGCACTATAACTTTAACATACTTCGAAGAGTCTAAAGGCTGGAATATTGCCCCACAAAAATCCCAAGAAAAATCTTAACTCGTCAGTCTAGAGATGACATTGAGATGAATGCTGTGAGAGACTGATCAAGTCTTGCTGCTTCAGAGACTAATCCTGTACAACAAAAGGAAGTTTGCAATCTGAAAAATTGAGTTCTCATTCTAGTTTCCTCACTTACAGACTATGCTAACTTTTGCTAACCATTTTCCAGAGACTCTACATAATATATTTTCTACATATGAATTTTTGAAATTTCATATCAGAGTTGGGATAAAAATACCTCGATTCCACACAAAAACCCATGATTTTTACCTTTGAAATGTTACAATGTCCATTTCTATAGCCTTAGATAAGTTATAACCTACTTTTTAGATGATCAGAGTCTCCTAATCTTCCCTCTGGATTCTTCTTTTTCCCTTATCCAACCATCCTCCCTAACACAGCTAGAGTAAAGTTTCAAAATATTAACCAGATCACAATACTGCTCTGCTTAAAACCCACACATAGCTTATCATCAACTGCATGATACATTTTAATATCCTTGTCTCTCTTCTTATTTGGCTCCTTACCTTCATTCAGAAATTCATGGTCTTCTTTATTCTATCTAGTTTCCTACCTGTGTCTCTCAGCTTATTTTGTTTCAACAACCTAGTATGCATATTCCCAATCCATTTCTTTCACAGAAAAATCCTATTTATTCTTCACAGCCTCACTCCAACTATTGTTGTTGCCTGACATCTTCCCTGGTTTCCACAATCAAATTTCATGGTCCCAAGCTCTGAGTTCTCAGATTTTCTTGTACCTATATGTTTGCACTTATTTTATTCTGTTTAGATTACAGTAGAGTTTACTTGTCTATCTCTTTTATTATATTGTGACATTCTATTACATCTTATTTGTCCTCATCTCTTAGCAAATGATGAATTTTGTGTATTGGATTGAATTTTACAGTGAGGGAAGCACAACTAAAATCCTGGGCTCAAAGAAACATAACATTAGTTTCTGCCACTGTAGATGTTTCAATCTTCTGTTTTGAATAGGAATAAAATGTATGCCCAACTTACTTTCTCTATCTCGGCAGGAGCTGTGCAGTGAATACCGTAAGTTTGTGAGGAATGGAAAACTCCCTTGTACCAGAGAGAATGACCCCATCCAAGGCCCAGATGGGAAAATGCATGGCAACACCTGCTCCATGTGTGAGGCCTTCTTGTGAGTAGCACTGCAACTGGGGAAATGAGAGAGGGTTTTCTTCTTTCTGCTTCATTTCTTTTTTTTTTTTGAGCTTTATTGTATTTTATTTCTTCAATTGCATTTGTGTCTTGTAAATGACTTTTTTAAACACATTTTTGCACAATTTTATAATTATCAAAGAATAATTCTTGCATATTAATCACTAGTTGAGTTTCTGTGGAAGGGTAAAAGATGTACAACAAGGATCTTACCCTTGCAGAGTGGGATATGAAATCACATAACAGATCACAAAGCAAACATGTCAATATGCAAAACAGTACATCTGTTCATGCACAGGACCTGGGGGAATGATTTGGAACAAGGAATGACTAGGATCTAGCGGAGTTAACTCCTCTTATGTGTCTTATCTGTTTGAACAGCATTGTTGAGGTTTTCTCTATTCCCTTGACCCCTGAATTTACCCTTCATAGTAACCAGGGCTTTTTCTCCATAGTACTAATCACAGTCTGCAGTTGGACATTTATATGTATGACTATTTGTTTAATATTTCTCTCTTCTACTAGACAATTATTGTTGTTATGGAAAGGATTCTAGAAAACGTGAGCACTGAGTTCAGATTAACTTTCTGCTTAATTTCTGTCTTCAACTACAAGAGGACCACTTCAACAGGAAAATAAAAACATAGTGAGAGGAAATCTTTGATTGGAGATATATATGAAAACCGTGTCCTTTGAGGACTATGAAGGCTTGGCACACTTAGCAAGGGGAAAGTCACCATCTTGAAATGTCCAAGCAGTTTTTGTTTTTAAGTATAGAAACAAGACTAGTTCTAAGTTGTCTCCATGAGTGAAAGTGGGCCAATGAGTGAAAGGCTCTAAAGACAGGTTCTGGCTCAATGCCAGGAAGAAGTTTCTAAGAGTTTGAGGACTTCAAGGATGGAAGGACCTACCATGGAGTTTAAGGATGATATAGGTAGACAATTTCATGGTGGATGAAAGCAGAGCTAGACAGCAATCAGACATACAGTTGTGAGTACAGGGAGTTTAGAAAACTGCCTCTGGATAAGGGTTTAAATCCTTAGTCTGCACTAATTAGCTCTGTATTCTTGGGCAAGTTATGCATACTATCTGTCAGTTTTCTTGTCCATAAATCACGGTTTAAATAGTAGTTTTGCCTCATGCAGTTGTGAAGATTTCATAGTATGAGCGCAAGGTTAGGCTCATAGTGAAAATTTAATATATGTTAACTGTTAATAACTAAATGATATTTGAGATCACTTTCAATCTGGAGATTCTATGATTCTTACTCATCTCCTTTTTGATCGCTCTCTTTTAGCCGAGCAGAAGAAGAAGAAAAGAAAAAAAAGGAAGGTGAATCAAGAAATAAAAGACAATCTGAGAATACAGCTTCCTTTGAGGTGAGGGGACCCTCTCCAGCAAGTCAGAGACGTATGGACCTGGGATCTGTAGATGGCATTCAGGGAACCCATAAGTTTCCTGAAACTGTATGAAACATTTGTACAGTTTGTTTGTGTATGTGTTTATATGTGTGCATGTATACATGTACATATGTGACCATTTCTAGGTTGAGAGTCCATAACTTTTATCATTTAAAAATATTCATGTCTTCAACGTTAAGAATTATTCTAAAATAAGCCACTTGCTGACCTCATTTAAGGAAAAAAGTCTGAACGTTAGTTATTTTTGCATTCTGATCCAACCTGTGTTCAATATCTTGAACTTCCCTCCATCACTTCACAGGAGTTGTGCAGTGAATACCGCAAATCTAGGAAGGATGGACGTCTTCTTTGCACTAGAGAGAACGACCCCATCAAGGGCCCAGATGGAAAAATGCATGGCAATGTCTGTTCCATGTGTGAGGCCTTCTTGTGAGTAGAGTTCAGGGCTTTTGAGGGAATGGGGATAGGGAACTGCTGAGGGAAGTTTTCAAACATTTGTGAATAATGCAATTTTCTCTTCAGTGTAGCATTAAGTTTTGGGTGTCACGTTTAAACTAATTAAAAAAACAAAAAAATCAGAAAACCAAAAAGCAAGTGGAGAACTTTCAGATGATAACTATTGTGATGTAAAGAGATGTAGAATAATTTCTTTCAGGACATTTCTGAAAGAACTCAGAATCTTTTATTCAGAGAAGAGAATATTCTATGATAACCATGCTAATTGCTTTTAGTTTTCTGAAGACTTATCAGCTGAAATAGGAAATGGATGAGCTTACATGTAATTTTGGGAGTTTTTTTTTTGTTTTATTTCACTACCTTTCTTCCTACTCATTCTATGTCACCTCATGGAATAGCGTTAAAATGGATGAGAGCTATAGGGAGACAGATTTGGGCACAAGGTGAGGATGAACTTTGCCATAGTTAGAGTAGGGAAAGGCTGCTTTAGGAATAGAGATTTTGTTGTGTGGGAGTTGGATATTTATATATAGGTAACTGAATTATGACTTCAGAATAGCTGATGTGGTATGTCCCCTCAAACACGAGTCTATGATATACTTCACGTCTTTTGATCTTTGTACCAGGGGTTACTCTAATTGATTTCCTATAAGCCCAGAATCTCTGAAAGGATTCAGTCTTTCATCTTTCAGTCTTCGCTGGTAGGGAGCAATATGACCTAGCAGATTTGTCCCCTAGTGTTTGGGCCGTGGAAGCACTAAAAGTCTGTTAGGTGGAAATCAAGACAATGACCACATAATCATCACAACCCACATTTATTGAATGCATATACTTGGCATATACTTGCTAAGAGCTTTTCTACCTAATCTTATTTAATCTTCACAACAACCATATGAAATATATTCTGTATCATCACAAGTTATAGGTAAAAACGAAATAAGACTCAGAGAAGATGAGAATGATGGAAATATCAGCACAGGAAAAATGAAGAAAATGATAACGTTTATCATTGTAGGGTGTATAAAGGATATGATCATTTAGCACAGCCATTATCATCTTCCGATAGTGACATTTGCTTGTATTTAGGCTTGTTTTAATTTGTTTTTATTCTCCTCTGCATTGATCTTTCAGCAACAAGGGAGTAATTCTGCCACCTAGTGGTCAGCTCTGGGGCTCCCTCTGATAATTTTCCATTATGGAAAGAACATGCTGCTTAAATGTTTTAGTCAACTTAGACTCACAGTAAAGTTTAGATCAGTTTCCATATAAAGAAGGGTGGGAAACCACACAATTTTGGAGCTATTTTAGTTTCTCCCATCAATATAAAAATTCCTTATCAAAAAGAAAGTTTTATTACCTCATATTTTATGGATCTGTTAACAAAGTCTTAATAATTGTTCTCTCCACAGTCATTTCTTGCTCACTTTCATAGCATATGCAAATAGTCTTTTCAACTTTTAAAGAAGTTGTAATTTGATCAGCGAGCAAGTTTCATGTTCATTGGAACATATTATAACATTTTCACAAATTATTTTTTTCTGTCTCTACAATATGATTGAATTATTTGCATTATAGATCCTATTACGCCATAGATCAAGTCCACTAAACTTGATTTGCAACACTGTTAGTTATCTCAAATAGTTAAGAGCTAACCCTCACACTTCATTTCCATCACATGACTATTTTTGGAGGGCTCACTTTCAATCATGATTACAGTATTGATGATATCACTTTTATCAATCGCTTTATTATACACCAGATACTTATTCTAATTTCTTTACGTGTATCAACTCTTGTAGTGCTTGCAACAATACTATAAGAAAACTATTCTTATTTCCTCTCTTGACCCTCCCCTCCGTTTCCCCACTTAAAAATGAAGAAGACACAGAGAGGTTCAGAAACTTTCTATGTTTCCTATGCAACCTGGCTCCAAAGTCTTTCCTCTTAAACACCATGACGTCCTGCCTCCCAGAAGCCAAATATTACCATTTTTTAAAAAGCTGTTGCAGATGCAAAAGAATCAGCAAATAAAAAAGTGCTATTACATGATATTTGATGGAAAGATAAATAGATTTAATCATTAATTAAGAGATTTTCTCTTGCATATCATTCTCTTGAGGTGAGGTGAGGTGAATCATTCTAATTTATTATTCAATAAAAATACAAACTATGATGACTGGATTTTTGGAGTTGCTTGAAAATAGCCAAAGCAATAAATGACCCACTTGTGAATGGTAAGGATCTACTCTACTGTATTAAGATCTGTTTCTTCTTTTTTTCTCTTTTTTTCCCCTGTTCCTTATAGTCAACAAGAAGAAAGAGCAAGAACAAAGGCTAAAAGAGAAACTGCAAAGGTAATTTTCTCAGGAATAGCTGATGTTATGTCCTGACATTTTTTTCTCTACAATAGCATTCTAGATAACTCATTAGCGTAAATGTTTTCCTGTTCAATTTTCATGCCCGACATGAACAAAGAAAATCTTTAACTCGAAAAAAGGTCTTGATTAGAAGTTTCCTGAGTACCAATTGTATTTCATGATAACTCAAATTTTGAGGTTTGTTTCCTAAAAAGTGTAGTGTTGACTTACTTTTAAGGCATAGTCCCCATATTTTGCTTTTCTTAGATTTCTGTTGTCAGACACAGATTATTAATATTCAGTTTTACAATATACTTATTTCAATTTACACAAGTCATACCTGTATTATTCAAATAGAGAGTACAAGAACCCTATCTTTCACATTAGCGCAATTATACAAAACAAAATGCACATATATTATCATATTTGACCTTTGTCACCACTTAGCTATGGAGGCAGTACTAGTTTTCTCACTCCAGATTAATGGTTATTGTATAAAACCTTTGATTTTCTAACTATTTTTAATCTACCGTACATGCTTCTATAATTTTATGGTATTACAAGTAGCAGAGTCTGTCTGTATGTAGATGTTGAATTACTCTAATATAATAGCCATATATACGATTTATCTTTATTTATTCTATTTCCTAACAATAGCTTCCAAAGTATAAGCCTAATAATTATTTTGGGAAAGTTGACACAGTTTAAAAGCTTACTTTTAAACTGAATTTCTCAATAACTACCTTTATTTTAGCTGGAACCATCTTTTTATTGGTGATTTAGAATTGAAAACTTGTTTTGTCCATAATATCTGAACAATTGCCAAGTCCGCTTAGATTTTCCAAATGGTCCTAACACATTCCTCCTTCTCTCCACTCTTGTTGTTTATCCAGGTGTCATACTTGTTCTGTCCTCCATATCTTTATTTCAGATATATTTTTATTTCTTAGTTTGAGCATGTTTTTTTTCTCCATTCTCAGCCTTCCAGAGACAAATCAAAGTTTGGCAACATATATATATTTTGGTACATTATTTTGATGTTATTATTTTCCAGCTTTATTGAGATATAATTGACATATAACATTGTATAAGCTTAAAATGCACAATGTGTTGATTTGGTACACTTACGTATTGCAAAACAATTGCCACCATAATGTTAGCTAACATCTCTAACACCTTCATTACCTCACATAATTACTGTTTCTTTTTTGTGTTGAGAACGTTTAAGATCTACTCACTTAGCAACTTTCAAGTATATAATACAGTATTATTAATTATAATCACCATGCTTACATTAGATCCCTAAAGATTATTTACCTTATACCTGGAAATTTGTACCCTTTGACTAACATCTCCTCATTTCTCCCACCTCCAGCCCCTTGTAACCACCGCTCTACTTTTTGTTTCTATGAGCTTGGCTTTTTAAAATTCCACATATAAGGGATATCATACAGTATTTGTCTTTCTGTTTGACTTATTTCACTTAGCATAATGCCTTCAACGTCTATCTAAGTTGTCACAAATGGCAAGACTCCCGCCTCATGAAGACTCAGATTTTTCTCAGTTCCTCCAGGAAACGTCCCTTGTGGGCCTATTGAGTCTCCTCACCTTTGACCTTTGGTAGCTTTTATAGACTGTGATGTACAACACAGCACAAATATATATATTTATACTAGTCTCTACCAATTTTGTCAGCCTTCCTCTGCGCCCAGATTATAAGTTCCCCCAAGGGAATGATGATAAATATTTATAGATCTGATATACTGCCAGGGTGATCCTGAGTCCATGATGGAAACTTTGTAAATACTTATTGATTTACTGGTGCATCTAATCACTTTTCTTTTTTTTCTTACTCTGCGTTACTTATTCCTCACTTTTTCCTCATACTAGACAAAGGTGCAGAAAGGATAGAAAACTGTTCTGAGAAAATATTTTCATTTTCCAGGAACTCTGCAGTGAATTTCGGAACCAAGTGAGGAACGGAATGCTCATATGCACCAGGGAGAATGATCCTGTCCGTGGCCCAGATGGCAAAGTTCATGCAAACAAATGTGCCATGTGTGCAAGTGTGTTGTGAGTATCTACCTTCATCTCTCCCACTGAAACTCTTCATTATTGATCATCCCTGAGTCTCGGTTTCTTCAGAAATGTGTGGAATATGTACCATGGATGTATGCTAGATGATTTTAAAAGTACATGGACAAGACATTAAGTAATATTGAATCACATAGTGACAATGTTATTCTCTATTCAATTATCCTTCTGTCTTCTAGTTAAGTTATGAGAAAAGTCTTAATGTAGTGCTAATATGTTTTTAACACTTGATAATCTTCATTCACAACAGAGAGCAGAAGTTTGACGATCTGGATGGTATGATCTCTTTGATCTCTCTCCCTGGCGCATTATGATTCTGTGACTATATTCAGATATTCGTTAAGGGAAAGCCAGTTAGACAGAGATCTGTGGGGACAGTATGTAAAGACTATTAAAATACCCTGAACAACAAATGGAATAGAGAGGATCATATTTATCCTTTTAGGGACGTAACCATATGCAGGTGAAATAAGTTCTTTGATAAATGGCTTAGAGTAGAGGGTGAAACCCCTAAGACACAGGTCCATGAAATAGGTGCTTATTAAAGTGTTTTCTTGTTAAGCCAGGTCTGGAGCCTTCTAGGCCATTGTTTGCTGAGCAGCATCAGAGCTCCCCTGCATTTGGCAATATAGGAGTCATTGATTATTACCACCTCTGGTTCTCCTCCTTCTTAGACTCCTAATCCCCTGCCAAGCCTCATGCTAAAATAAATGTTGAGATAAATATTTAAATAATATCCATTGAAAGAGGTGTGAAGTTATTGCCCCTTAACTTTCACATGTGTTGGTCCAATCTTAAGCATATGCACACAGTTCCTTAAAGGAAAGATTGGCAAAGTAGGCCAGTAGATTTCACAGTGGCCCGAGATTCAAGATATCCGAATTCTTCTCTCACCTGCTCAATTTGCTAGTGCTATGATAATCACTAGATTAGATATGATAAATGCTAAGATTTTTTCCAGCTTTGATATGATCCACATCAGTAGAAAATGGCAAGAATGCCAGAATCTTAGGCTCATGATTGACCTAAAAAAATTTGCTTGTTCAGTCTTCTTGGACTCGAACCATTATTGTGCTCTAAAACTCAAATTTTAAAATAATATTTCAAATTTATACTTTATAGTAAAACATAGTTTATTTTGATTATGGGCCCATTGTCTGATTTCATATCACTCCTTGCTTCCATCATTGATATGGTATTTATTTAGACCAAAATTTAATTAAGGCAATTATGGCTTTTTTCAGATCATTGACTGAAGTCACTGACCTAAAGAAAAAAGATGACCCAATGATCACATACTGATAAAATGGCATGCTAGTTTTATTTTTTAAAGGTGGATTGTAAACTACTGAATTTACCTGCATTATTGGGCAAAGCAATAGAATCTCTTAGACTGGATAAATTTGTGCTAAAGATTGAGTCTGATCTTTGGTCTGGAAGATCCTCATTTTTTTTTTTTTTAAATACATTACTAAAGAGAATGGGAAATTGTATTTAGCTTGTGTTTTCTGTTTTTATTGCAGCAAACTTGAAGAGGAAGAGAAGAAAAATAATGGCAAGGAAGAAAAGGAGAAAGTTGATGCTGAGAAAGTTAAGAGAGAAGCAGTACAGGTAGTAGTTTCAGATCGTCACAGCCATGTAAACATTTCATTTTCTCTAGGCAAGACTCATGCTGCCTCCTCCTAATTCCAGCATTCTTGGTGACTGTGCAAAAGAGAAAATGTATTTGGATTCTCGTGTATAAGAAGATCCCTTCTTTGTTCAATTCATTCCCACTAAATCTGATCTAGTTGCTTGTGCATTAGAGAGGAGGTCAGTCATGCTTATCGCTACTGATCATGTGAGTTATATTATCCCCCAAAAAGAAGTAGGTACACATTCTTATCTTGTTATCTAAATGCAAACCAATAAAGGCTGATTTCAAATTTTGCTCCATCATTTTTTGGGCAAGGATGTTTAGCTAATAATAACAATAAATTTTTAAAACTAGGTTTCATCACAATTAATTCTCTATGAGCTTTTGGGAAAATTACGTAAGAGCATCTTTGAGCCTTGGGTTTACATTCTTTACATCTCACGTGGTAATGATGATGACAATGGTGATGGTGATGGCCTATAATTTTTCAGTTGTTACTGTATGCCACATGGTATAAAACTTTTATGACTGATCTTTTCAGTAACCATTCAAGGTAGGTATTATTGTCTGTATTTTATAGAAAAGGACTTGGAGGCTCAGAAAAGAAGTTAGGGAATATGTTACTAATTTCAGAGCTAGCAATAGGATTACAAGTTCTGGCTTTAAAGCCCATGATGCATTTTAGATTTTGTACCCAACTGCCATTTGTGACGTTCCTGCAGGCTGTGCCTCAGGTCTTCGTTGCTTCTTTCCTTTACCTTTTTCTAATTTGGGAGATCTCATTTCTCACTACTTTCCCTCCCCTCCCCTTTGCTCCCTAGAATCTACTCTCAACTCTGACAAAGTAACTATTTAAAACCATAAGGCTGATTATGCCACCCAGTGGCCTCTTATCTCACTCAGAGTAAGAAGCAAGGTCCTACTAGTGGCTCACAGTGTCATACATAATCTGACTTCTGCCACCTCTCAGACCTCGTTTCCTACTATTCTACCCATCGCTACCTTTATGCCAGCCAGACAGGTCACCTTGTTGCTTCTTGGACATGCCAAGCATTGATTCAAGTCTTCCCATCTTGTGGATTCAATAGGACTGTGGTTAAAAAACTGGACTCTGGACTCAGATTGTCAGGTTTCAAATATGGTCTCCATCTCCTTACCAGTAAGGTCAGACAGTATCATCTTTATGTCTTAGCTTCCTAATTTATAAAATAAGGATATTATTATGTATATTATTTTTATGAAGTCCCAAGGAACTCATCCATGTAGCAACAGCACAGTCCCTCGCATATCTTAAGTCCTCAATATTACACATACAGTGAACTTCACTTTCGACATGGCTTTCCTCATACTCAGTCACGAATGTATCTTCCCTCTATCTGTCAAAATCATGGCCACTTTTCTTAGCTCAGAGTAAGAATTAACTGCTCCCTAGAGATTTCTCCCATTTATACAAGACATTTAACAGCTCTATCATCTACTATGCAAGCAGTTTTCCTTTATTTGTCAATTATATCATTTGTTTTATTCTAACTTATAGATGTTTCTATGTATTTTCTTCAAAGAAACTAAAAACTCGGTATTAGGTTTTCATGGTTGCTTTAATAAATTGGCACAAACTTGGTGGCTTAAAACAACACAAATTTATTATCTTTGGTTCTTAAGGTTAGAAGTATGACATGGATCTCACTGGGCTAAATGAAAGAGTTGGTAGGGCTGCATCCCTTTCTGGAATCTCTAGGGGAGAATCTGTCTCTTCGGTTTTTCTAGCTTCTGGAGGCCATCCATGTTTCTTGGCTCTTGGTCCCTTTCCATCATCTTCAAAGCCAATACCATTGCATCTCTGTCTGTTCCTCTGTAGTCACATCTCCCTCTTACTCTCTCTTCCGTCTCACTCTTCCAGTGTTAAGCACGGACCCTTGTGATAACATTGGGCACATTAGGATAATCCAGGATAATCTTCCCATCTCAAGGTCGTTAACTTAGTCATATTTGGAGAGTCCTTTTGGCCCTGTGAAGTAATATATTCATTCACAGATCCTGGGTATTAAGAATTGGACAAATTCAGGGGGTGGCTGGTATTATTCTGCCAACCACAAATTCCTTTACAAAAAGGATGATAAATTATTCTTTTTTGTATCTCTCACGGTGCCTAGCCCAGAATAATATTTGAATTAAATTGAAGATTTTCTAATGAGATAAATAACAGCAATCTTATATTCCAAATAATGTGTGACCTAGGCCTCTGAAAAGCATCTTGGCTAATATCAACCTTCTGCATCACCTTTTTGATGCATCTATTATGTTTTGTGGCATTATATCATAGGAATAATGTGGAGGAAGCTTTCCAATATTTAGTTGCCTCATTCTTAAATCCTCCCTCATTTGGCAGGAGCTCTGCAGTGAGTATCGTAACTATATGCGGAATGGACGACTTCCCTGCACCAGAGAGAATGACCCCATTGAGGGCTTAGATGGGAAAATTCATGGCAACACCTGCTCCATGTGTCAGGCCTTCTTGTGAGTAGAGCTACAGCAACTTTGCTGCTGAGTGTAAAAGAAGATAGACTGGGGTTGGGTAAGAGAGATGATATTGAAGATTTTCTCTAGGAGGTAGATAATGAAGGCTATCTTTGCATTGAGTTTGGGGATATACTGTTATAAAGCCATATGCTTAGCATATTTCTTTCTGGTGTTCTTAATGTTCTGAAAGGTACTTGAATTGCCATCAAGGGAGAACCATGTGCTAAGAAGGGCAAATTCCCCCAGAGTTAATGGCAGACAATGATTGGAATTTCTGTTCTCTGCGTATATACTAGCAAGAATAATCCAAAGATGTAATCACTTGGTGCTAACAGATTGAAAGTTTGCTAACATCTAGTCAATATTTTTAAGTATTCTGGTTGCTTTCAGGGGAATGGGACAGTATCTTTATTTTCCAAAAGAAATACAGTAGTGAAAATTTATTTATTGGTTTGCTATTGCATGTGTGTTTTATTCTTTAAGCAACATTAAAAACAAGAAGAATAATAAGGAGGGGTATGCGTTTATCATCCTACTCCCAAGCTAAGTTGGTAGAGGCATAGAAGTAAGGGAATATTTCTGTCCAGAGAGATTTCCCCTTTAGGCTAATATGTGTTGGGTGCTAGAAATGATTCTGTCCCCCTCCTTCCCTTACAGCCAGCAAGAAGCAAAAGAAAAAGAAGAAGCCAAATCCAGAGCAAAAGCTAAGAGAGAAGCTGAAAAGGTATTTGTCCTGGAAGGTTTATACCACAATGAAAGCGTGAGGTTTTGCAGTTTTTCTTTAAAAATAAATCATGGAATTACTGAAGGCCTAGGTGTGAGAACTCAAGGTTTATTTACTCCAGGAGTTGACAAAATTTTCCCAAAGGGCCAGATAGTAGATATTTTAGGTTGTGGCCATTCAGTCTCTGTCACAACTACTTGACTCTACTGATGTAGCTATAAAGCAGCCACGGACAGTGTGTAAACAAGTGGGCGTGGCTGTGTGCCAATAAAACCTTATTTACAAAGGAAGATGGTGGGCCAGATTTGCCCCCGGGCCATAGTTTGCAAACCCCTGATTTACTCCATTTCCTTATTTTTAAATGAAGATTTAAAATCCAGAGAGAAAGCAGAACTTGCTTACAAAGGTAGTGGGAATACTGGTATCAGGATCCATATCTTAATCTTTCAAAATTCTCGCAGTTGAAAGTGGAAACAATAGAATTTAAACACAGACTTCCTGACACCAAATCTAGCATTATTCCTAACAAATTATGTAGTTTTGGATGACCACATTTGGTCAAAGCAGGTGTGTTCCTTGCTTTACCTTTAATTATTTCTGGTGCCAGCATTTTGGGGAAAAAATAGAAAAGCAACTTTCCCAAATAAATTTTTTCTCGGTTTCAGAAAGACTGATTTTCAAGTTTTGTGGTCATTTCTTTGCCCCTATCAAACACTATTGGTATGAAAAATAACCTCCAAAGAAAAGTATCACACTTGGATTCTGTACTGTTTACACTTGTGTTTCCCACAATTGTAAGTCTGAATTTAAAAACAATATGAGTAGCTCTTATGTTTCACTTTTCAACATTTGCAAGAGGAAATTCTTCAGTATGAGACAATTTGTGATTTCACCTTAGTTACCACAAACAACCTTTCCTCTCATATCATATTTCTTTTTCTAAATATGACCAGTTAAGGAATGTGGCAGTGAACTCTGAAGCAGAGCTGGGAAAAAAACTCATTCTTGTCCTCACTGAGTTTCGACTTGAACTAAAAGATACAGACAAAATCACAAATTCATTCCTAATTGCCACCAGTAATTAACTCTCTGATCTTGAGTGATTTGCTTATTCCCTCTCAATTCCTCATGTAACTCTGGAGCTAGCATTTGCTTAGTTTTTCCTAGATGTTAGTTATTATAGATTACATACATATATTATCTCATGTTATTCTCACAACAATCCAGGACATATATTGAATATTCAATGCGTATTGGCCACTATTATTTTAACCAGGTGAACTAGATGCTATTATTATTTCCATTTAATACATGAGGGAACTGAGGCACAAAGGGACAACACCTCTGACCCAAAGTCTCTTGGTGGCAGATTGAAACTCTAACTAACAATATCATATAGCTGTCAATGTGCCACTTCTTGTCCAGCCATACCTGGAATATTATGTTGAATTCTTCAGGAAGGGGAAAGAATTCAGAATGAGAAATGGTGGAAATGATTGAAACAGAGAGACTGTGGTATCTGGGGATGTTTAGCTCTTGGAAGAGAATGTAGGGAGGTATGGGAGAAGGACAAGAAAGTTTTCTCCAAATATCTGAAGGACTGTCATGGGGAAGAAGAAAAATGGCCTCAATTTCTCTGAAGGAAGTCAAATACTTTGACTTTGCTTATGTCTGAAGGAATATACTCATCCTATTTGCAATGACATTTTAGAAAAATAAAACCCTAAGAGCAGGAATCCTATAGGATTTATTAGAGTCATTTTCCAAGATCCCCCAACGGTAGCACTATGGCTAATTTGTGGGAACTATCTAATTAGAATGAACTCTCTGGAGGGTAATGGCCTCCTTATTCCTGCAGGTGTTCCAATGCACATTAGACAGCTTCTTGACAGGCATGACCTAAAGGGGACTGAGATAGAGTATGGATGGTTGGACCAGATGAACTTTGAAGTTCTATCCAAACTTGAAATTTTTGATTCTACGACATATACAGAGTTTTTTTTAATTGTATTATAATATAATAAGGATGGATAATAAAATGCTGAGTAAGGACTGTGACCAGTCCTCAGCGAACTCACTTTGTTAAGAGATTCTTGCTTGTGTGATTGTAGGTTCAGTCTGGATTTCGAGACGAACTCTCAAAGAAAAAGAAACAGAGAGCTTTTTTTAAGTCTTGCATTCTTAGTAGTAATTGAATGAAATAATTGCCAGGAAAAAAATTCCTTGGGTCCTTTTCTCTTTTTTCCAGGAAGTTCTTAGTAGGAACCCAACAAAGCTAACTTCAAAGAAAATACTCAAGCTCTTGCCTTTTCTCCTCCCTTTAGGATGCATGCAGTGAATTTCGGAGCCTTTTGCAAAATGGAAATCTCTTCTGCACACGAGAAAATGATCCCGTGCGTGGCCCAGATGGCAAGACCCATGGCAACAAGTGTGCCATGTGTAAAGCAGTCTTGTGAGTGCACAAATGCAGCCCCTGGGTAGGCAGAGTTGGGGAGGCAAAGAGCTGGGAAGATAATATATTGTGTTTGTCCTTTCCTTATACATAAAAGCAACAAATGATTATCTGTAAAGCATTTTTAAGTGAAGCTTCCTTTAAAAAGGCTAAGATTCACTATTCCAGAAATAGATAATATATGACTAAGTTATTACATTCTTCATTAGTTGTAGGGTGGAGCCTACCAATAGATCACAACATCTTCCTTGATAAATTTATAAGTCCTTTGCTGTCAGGTGGATCCCGTCTCTGGATTATCTTGTAAATCCCATTGGGAAAAAACACAGAGATTTTACTATCAATCTGATTCCTCTATCTACAGTTTGGAAAATATCACATCTTCAGGAAATGAACAATAACTCTGTACACGAAGTTTGGAAGTAAACCTAAAATATTTAAGTCATTCCATGGACATTTGCTGAACATCTACAATGTATAACGTGCATAATGATTATACAAATATGACACAGTCTTTCTAGAAATCACAGTTTACTAAGGATTAGACATGGGCATAACTTAATATAACACAAAGGAGGAATTGCTAAATGAAAACTGATATATACAGTGGGTTATGGTACTTCAGGGAAGGGAGAGTTAGTAAAAAGTTCTAAGGAGAGATAGAACTGGCCCTTATAATTTGGATAAGATATGTACAGTACAGGAAGGAATGAGAGGAAAAGAGAGGAATAGTATAAGTAAAGGTCTAAAATTAAGAAAACTGTAGCATGTACATTAAAGAGCAAGTCATTTTGTTTAGTTGGAACTTAACTTTACCATCTTTGAATGCCAGACCAAGGATTTTGAAGTCAATTCTATATATAGTTGGAAGTTGCTAAAATGTTTCAAGTAGGATAGAAAGTGGCATAAATATGGTTCCTTTAGGAAGATTCATAGGAGGGAAAGGACTAAAATTCAGAATGCTATCGGTGATGATAGGGGATTGCAGTAACCCAGGGAGAGGTAACCAGAGCAAGAGAAATAAGATAGAAGGCGAGTAGATCAACATAGGAGACATTGTGAAGATGAAATCAATGTTGTATAGCAACAGGTATGTGAGCTAAAGGAGAGGGAACAGTTAGATATGGTTCCAATGCTTTGTCCCTAGTGAAAAAATAGAGAATCTAGGAGGAAGGGCATTTTTGGCAGAGAAGATAATTATTTTGGGACCTCTTGCATAGGAGATATTTGAGAGAAATCTCATCAGAGATTCACAGTGAGCATTTATAAAATGCTCATTAATTGCTCATCTAGTCTTGCTTGTGTTTATGTAAATGTTGGTTTTCTTCTACTGCATTGAGAACTCTTCCAGGCAAAATTCATCTTTTTATTTTCAGAGAAGAGGGCCTGCAACATAGTAGATGTTCAATAAATGCCGGTGAATTATATACAAATAGAATTTGGTGATATGATGAGAAACTCATAGAAATGCATTCCCTTCTCTGGAATCTATTATTTCCTACCTCCCACTTTCTAATTTCCAGTCAGAAAGAAAATGAAGAAAGAAAGAGAAAAGAAGAGGAAAATCAGAGGAGTGCCGGAGGGAATGGTTCCAGTGGTGGTGGAGGAGGGAAAGCTCAGGTGAGAGCAACCTCTAGTTTCCAGAACCAGTGGGCTCAACTCTGACAATGGGACCACAGCACAGCCTATAGTAAAAGGCGAATGTATGTACTGATGAGTTTGAAAGCGTCTTTTGAAGAACAGGGGATTTCCCCCTTAAGACTGTAGTGTAATATCTCAGCAATTTTTATTCTCTCCAGGGCTCATTTTAACTTCTTTAAACCTGGAAATAATTAACGTGATGACCTTATCCCAGTCTCCTGACTCTTCTTTCTGTAATCTAGCTCTCCTGCCAATAATCAATCACAGAAGAGTAAATGGTGTAAATTTAGAGATGTTTCACATCAGCATCACATGCTCTTCATTTTTATTATTCCCTCTTTCCCTGAATGGGGCCACCTTTTTGAGGTATATTTTCTGTTGATACAAGGCAGCATAAAATGGTGAAAGAGCATAGGTTTTGGAGTCAGATAGTTTGGGGTACAATCCTGCCCCTGAAACATGGGACTTGTGAAGCACTGAATAAGTTACTTCATCTCACTGAACTCTATGTCCCTTATTTAACAATACTAGGACACTAGTTTTCAAGTTTACATATAAAACTTCATATATGAAGACAAGCAGCAGGATGGATTAGTCCTGTAGGTATAGTTTGCTGACCCTTGATCTATGCTGCTAAATCCCAACTAGCTTTGTAATTTCACTATATAGAACCTTAAAAGCAACATTATTAGCCATGACAACTGATGTCTTAGAATATGGATGATTCCAGACCCTCGTCCTCTGTGGATAGCAATCCTAGATGTTATATTCCTTATAACAGGAGGTAGACAAGAACTTTTCTTACTCCAATTGTTTAACAAACAATAACAATACAACTGACCGAGTAATCCAGGAGGCCTGCTCTCTTCGCTTTTTTCAGGACCAATGTGCTGAGTTTCGAGAACTAATGAAAAGTGGAAATCTCAGCTGTACTCGGGAGAATGATCCCGTACGTGATGCCGATGGCAAATCATACAACAATAAGTGTACCATGTGTAAAGAGATGCTGTAAGTAATTCTCTCAACAGGCATATCTAAATGATGGCCACATAGTCCTCCTGAATTAATGCTATTGTTCAATGCTCCTTCCGTGAAAATTTTTCTTTATGTTAATTCCAAAATACTCTCTCTTTTTCTTGCGTCCCTTAAGGAACAATGAGCCCTAGCAAGTGGCTGATTCCTACTCTATTTTCTATCATAATTCTGTGATCTGTAAGTGACATCATGATACACACTTGCTCTTTGGAACACATCATGCCTTAATCCTAAGGAGACTTTGCAATAGTCATTTGGAATAGTTGACCAAGTATAGCTTAAGAGGACTGTTTCTTATCATGTATATGGCACACATTTATCGCATAATCCAGGATTGTTCCTTCTATTTATTTTCCCTTGGAGAAAAGTACTGAATTGGAGCGCTTTATGATCCAGATCAGCCACTCTTGATTTGTGTTACTGGGGCAAGTAACATACTACCATTAGTCCCTCTGTATATTGAGGTAGTTTTCTAGGTGACCTTGATGGGTACTTGTAGTTTTAAAACTTGATGCCTATATCACAATGCTCTTAATTATGGCATTTAATTGATGTTCATTTAATAAGTATTTAATGGTTCTCCACACACATTCTTCACTTTTCTCCTTGAAAAAAAAAGTTACAATCTTGTAGTTGTGTAGGCCACGTGAGAAAATCTTACTAATCCAAATGCTGCATTTTACAAATAAAGAAAAACTTAAGTTAGTTTATTCAAGGTCTCATGGGGAGTGAGCCTCAGAGCCAAAACTAGAATCCAGTTCTTCTGAATATCAGACTAGTATTTCTCCCACATTATTAAAATTCTTTAATAGAAGAGAGTGGCGGAGTGGAGCAGTGCTAGGGTTTTAGCATCAGATGGCTGTTTCAGCTCCGTGTTCTCGGTCAGTTTATTCTACGTGCCTAGGCTTCAATCTGCTCATATTTGTAATGGGGGTGAGGGCAACAAAAATCCTAGTAGTCATGTAGTGTTTCTTTTTAAAGTTAAATGAAAAGAATCATGTAAATCTCTTAGTACAATGCCCAGGACAAAGTAGGCAAACAATAAATGTGAACTGTCACTATTAGCACTGTCATTAGTGTTTAGTAAATAATAGGTATCATCATTAATGGTAATAAATAATGACTAATGTTACAATGCCTTACACTGTACCAGGTTGTCTATGTACAAGTCATACTTCGCAGATATGACAAACATAATTGAGATAGCTCTTCACTTACGACTTTGTTGCTTTATGCCTCACATATTAATAGTAGATAATTTTGTGACAGAACAAATGATGATTCTTAGATGCAGAAAATTATTAAGATAAAGCTGTGCTGGGGCCGGCCCTGTGGCTGAGTGGTTAAGTTCGTGAACTCTGCTTCGGCCACCCAGGGTTTCACCAGTTCGGATCCTGGGTATGCACATGGCACTGCTCATCAGGCCATGCTGAGGTGGCGTCCCACACAGCACAACCAGAAGGACCCACAACTAGAATACACAACTATGTACTGGGGGGCTTTGGGGAGAAAGAAGAAGAAGAA